TATGTATAATGTAGCGGGAGAACTCCAGCCCGCCGCCGTGACCCAATATCCGATGAGCTGATCGTCGCGAACTCCGGCACCAGCCGTTGCCTCTAGCTCATCAAAGGCTCGGCCGCGCAAACGTCACTAACGACGCCGGTATGAGGAGTTACGTCTGATCGGTTGTGCAATCACGTAGGCGACATTGGTAGGTGATGGAATCGCGATCGAAATAGTCTCGAGGACTCCAGGAAGGCAGCGAGCGAACTCGGTACATGAAAAAGGATTCGAGTCGATGTTCTTCGACGGCGACAAATTGGTGCACCGAGGAAAGGAATTCAGGGTGAGGAAAATCGAATTTGAGCCTGAGGAAAAAAAAGTCCACGAGTCACCGACGTCATCCGTTTTCGAGCAGAACGAAGTCCAAGGCATCGCTACACCGTTCTGACCTTTCCTCACAATCACCAGGCCCACGAGCAGCCCGAAGATTTGATCGCGTGCAGTCTCTGACGTACTGTTCGACCGGCTCGTCGATGAACAGACCGAACATTCCGTCTAAATGCTCTAATAAGCCGCTTCCGTAGATGCGCAGAACAGATGGAGGAAACCAGAACAGACCGTTTGCGACTACCGGCGTAGGCTACGTCTTCCGGCAGGAACAGGTTGCTCGCAGTCGGTCAGCTCGTCGCTCCGAAAGTGAATGATTGAGGGAGTTACACATCTTCCGGTTGAGCTTATACAGCTCCCGGCGCGATGACCTCAGTGCGTTAGAGCTCCGGTCCGTGAAGTAAACTTAGAAGGAAACAATTTTTCACCGGACCTCCACGATCGATGTTTGAATAGATGGTGGCGAGGCGACGAGCGAGACCGAAAAAAAGTCTCGGTCTCTCATCTAGCGTCCTCGTATGAAATCGCCGGAATACGGGAGTCTGACGCACAATTCCCTAGGAAGTTTCCACGAGTGTTTCCCGCAGGGATTTCTGAATGGGAGATCACGGGAGCGAAGGCGACGCCCCGCAGTTACGTCCTATCGGTTTGGTCGGAGACCTTGATGAGTTGACGCCGCAGGTGGTCCAGCTCAGTAATTCTCCTGCTTCCCGCCCCAATACTTCTCCAAGGGAAAGTCAAGTGGGCCGGGATGCTCCGCGCTCGGAGGCTATACATTCCTCGCCGCGATCCGAGAATAGAATCTAAATAGACCCCACGAGGGTCGATTCCGGTCTCACAATGAGCGTGGGAGGACGTCAGCTCGGGTGGAGGAGGGGTTTAGCGAGAGAAGTGATGTTCTCTATGGAGAAAGCGCTTCAAGCGATGAATCGCGGGCTGTTCAGACTGATTCCGCGTCTCGAGAAAGAGTTTCCCGAGTACAACCTCGTTCCTGAATGAGCACCGGGAGGGCTCCAGAAGAAAGTGGAGGGGCTCAGAAGGCAGTGAGATCGCTCAACTCTGAAGGCAGACCCGAAGGTGTTCGCTGTTTCACCTCGGAATATTCCGCCTCCCTCTGGGAAGCTCTAGTCCATGCTTCCGGACGTTTTCTCCTTTTCTTTGGCCGAATCATCGACTGAAGTCCCATCGGCACGAATGGATGCTTCACTTATTCGGTGTGGCGTGGCAATTCTATGTTAGCGTACCAATAGCTTTGTGGGAGGAACCTGTGTGCGGGCGGATCGCAGACGGCGCGTTTCTCCGTGAGAAGGCTTAGGCAGCGATGTAAGAAGCTGCTCTTTCGGTAGCCTCCTATTCAACGATCTAAAGAGACGACGGACGCCAGTCGAACGAAATTGCTTCCGACGGAAGCTTGTCTGCGGTGGTCGGCGCGGGACACAATCGACCGCGGCTCGAACAACGATATCTAAGAAGAAGTAGGAAACTGCAGAAGACATACTGATTGAGTTTTTGTTTTCGTTCCGTCAGGGGGAAAATTGCCTCATCCATTTTTCCACGACGGACTCGTAAGAAAGAACTTTCCTGAAGAGAGAAGAGCGCTACCCCCGTCGACGTCACTGAGGGGTATGACATCGTGTCTCCGACTGGGATATTGTCTGAGACTTTCGTCAGGACCCAAACAGTGAGCGAATACTGGACCGAGGGGAGCTTGTAAAGGGACGATGCTGAGTCGCGGGAAATTTATCCGGGAAAACGTCCCGATGCAACTCTCCTTTCGGCTTCTCTACATATACTATGTTCCTAGGTGACACGAAAAAGAAGCTAGGCTTTAAGGATCAAGAGCAGAGGGGAAATCTTCACTGAAACCCAGTCTGAAGAAATCGACGTCGCGACGTCGATTCTCCAGCCTGGCCTCTCTGAACATTCGAATCGACAACGGCCAGCGAGAGCGTCTCTACGGAAGGAAGGGAACATGCGGAATATCACAAGGGGTGGAGATGGAGATAAGAGGTGTTCGCTCCATGCGAATGCCGGAGCGGCGGCTGGGTTCCGTTCGAGAGACTTGAGTTCGATTTGCCGTGGGGATTTGTCTGGCGACAACGACGACCGACGGCGGCCGACGATACGGGTCCAACTATCTTTAGCTCTCATTAGAATCACGGGCTCCGCTCAATAGAACAAGCGGACTGCCAAGTGAGCGAACGATTGGACGATCGGAGTCGTTGCGAGTTACAGAACGAGTCCTCGAGATATGTCCTGAAGGCTCACGAGGAAATTCAGTTTTTCACTCGGGCTAGGGAGCGCAGGCAAAAGGCGAGGAGAGCGGCGAGTCCACTCGCTCCAAGTTGAAGAATCCCCGCGTAAATTCTCGCGTCGTTTCGCCTCAATCTATTCCCTGCGTGGTGCGCCGTAAATTCCTCGTCGGTCGTCCTCTCGGGTTTCTCAGGCTCACCGGTCGTTCTCCCCGAAGACTAACTAACTGAGTTTAGCGAAGGCTGTGAGCAGTTCTAGGTGAGGAGAAATGTCACGGGAAAGAACCTTCGCAGTCAGTTTCCTCCTCGAGAGCGTTTTCCTCGGACTCCTCGCTCGCTCGTTCCTTGAGGAGGTAGTGCCCTCTATAGCCTCCGAGGCAGTTTCAGAGGACGTCCCAACCGCGGCTTTGCCGTCGGACACAGATGGAGCCACGTGTCTCTCCTGATGCTCATCGGAGACAAAAAGAACATTTTTATTATTCCTTTATTCTGTCGACCAGGTGGTCCTTCCGGTGAAGGGCTCGATACAGGCAGGCAGACAGGCGAGCAGCCGAACATCCAAACAGGGGCCGAATTTCGTGCCGAAGAGCCTCCGCATAATTTTCAAGCTCATCGATTGGTTCCAGGGCTTCTATTTCGGTGCGCTTAGCGCAGACTAAGCTTTAACGGCGTAGTCTGATTCGATTAGAGTCAGGGAGGATTGGTTTTCGTTTTAGCGAGCTTCGAGCGGTCCGGATGAGGTTTTAATTTGCTCGACAATCAATCAGGCTTCCGGATCAGAACCAGCGTTCGTTAACCCCCCAATCTCCTTCTAGAAGATGCTGGAAAATGATGGAACAAGGAAATGTCATACTCGTACGCATCGGTTTCTCGTCACGATTTATACCGTGGGCGTCCACCATAATCGGCGTCTTTGTTTCAAAGCTCACCGTGCCGCTCCCTTTTGATTCATCGACCGAAGCTCAGTGACTCGCGGATCCCTTCAGGTCAGGGTGTCGGCTCAGATGATCGGACTCCCACGGTCAGCGGAGAATGGATGCAGCGTTGATGTTGCAGTAAGTCATCTCGAGCTAGTTCACACCTCCAGGTGAACGGGAACATCAGAAAGAGGAGAATTTACGATCAGAAACCCAACAAAGGGTCCTTTATGAACGCCACTCAGGTGTTCCGAACCCATCTTACGGCAACGAATCGTAGTTTCGGCGCGTAGAAAGGAAATACCGGGATCCCGGCAGAACATGAACTCTCATCATACCAGTTGTGTAGCAGAACTTATATTGTAGTTTCAGGAATGAGAAATATCCCGATGGAATGCTGTAGAAGGATGATCCCTTTCGGTAGATGGGAACAGTTTTATGGAGACTGGATCAGTCACCTTGACCCTGTTTCCCGAGTAATAAGACAATCGAGTACTGAAAATCGATCCTTCCATCGGGCATCCCAAGTGGATGCAGTGTTACTCGGCTTGTTATTTCCCTGGGGTTGTAAAAGGGCCATCTGCGAAGTTTCCCAGGGGTCGCCCGCGTCGGAAGCTTGTGTCATGCTGCAAGGGAGGCTCCGGGCTTTCGTCTAATTGATATAAATTATTCCCACGAATCTTTCAGGTCGAGTCAAGGTTGTCCTGCTACATCTTTCCACGGCACACCCTCCCCACGAACTCTCCGTGTACCGTCGATGGTTTTCCCGACCTGCCGCTGCCCATTTGATCCTTTTCCATGAGCTGCAATCGAGGCTACCCAAGAATAAAGTCGACCTCTTAAGGAGCATTTTTAGAATAAATCGAGACTTGCGGCCCACTCCACATCTTTTCCAACCGAATTTAGAATTCCCCTATGAGAAGATCGAGAAGCGTATTTACGCATGCTAACGAGGATGGAGTACTCTCCGAACATCGCTCCAAGCATAGGGCCATCTCCGAGCGATACCTCAGGAGAACCTGAGCTTCCAGCGACGCCGACGCGCGACGTGATCAACTGCCGATAATGTAATGTCGGAGATAGCAGAATGTTCAGAGAGTCCCCGGTGAGTCCTATCGCTCTATTTGACATGGAGAATAGAGAGGACAAGATGTTTGCGAATCAATGGGTAGTCCACATGATTCTAGAACCACTCGGGATCGGGGCGACTTCGCTGAGAGAAACACGTCCCGTATCAAGCTCATGGCTTCTACTGCTCCCGGAAGATTCGTATACCTAGGTAAGTAGCTCTCCAGTTTATTACTTCAATCTACGATACACAACGTTTTATTAAATGTCAATCTCTCTTATGTACATCATATACATGTATCACGGTGTCATGCGGATTCTTGAAAACAAAAGGAACGATTCCGACAGGAAGTACCATAAATTCTGTTGCTTTTCAAATCGAATTGGATGCTCAATGATTATTTCTCCTGATTAATCGATTATCGAAGTTTTCTCTCTTTCACGTCGAACTAAGCTCTCCAAGTGAAATCCACTCCTTTGATCCCTTCTGCTTTGTCCTTCGATTATAATGCGATCCGTTTTTACAGTCGATGTCCTTAGGTACCTCACCGGCGTTGGTCTCCATCTTTTTGTGTGAGTATATATATCCCGATCGTCCGTCCCAGTCCTCTTCCCATACCTTTTCGAATATGATTTTGGCGGCTTCTTTCCAAATGATATCTACGATTTATAGCCGAAATAGCTTCGTTCCACAAACTCCTGATCGTATTGAACCATCTCGTCGAAAAGCCATCGAGAGCTAAATTTGGTCCCAGAGCCACCGTACTCTTCGGGTAGACACTCGGCGTCGATCGTTTTGCTCAAGTCTGAAACGCATTTGTGCACGAAAAAACGACTCCGAAGCTTGTCGGTCAACAGGAACTTGATCAATATCAGTACGTAGTGGAAAACCGATGGCACGTTCACAAAATGTATCGCCTTGATTTTCACCGGGAGCGCTCCTTTCAAAATGCATGTGTACGCCTGGAACGAAACAAACTCCTCTTAGAGTCAATCAGAAGCGACTCTCCGTCGATTCGGCGCAGTGCTGTCATGAGCGAGACTGGCAAACGCCTCCGCAAGTCAGGAGCCGACCGGTGCGGCGCTAAAATATTATGAGGAGCGAAAACCGAGCGAAACTGTGCGTGAACTCCGTCTGCGTAGCGACGATCTGGGACCATCTACGCTCCGGTGGATTCCATCTCCACGAACGCGGTGACGCCTCCCGAGCTACGAGCGCGTGTGGTATAAACGCAGCGCATTTGGAGCTTATCACAGATTGTACGCCTCGGGCGAGGATCATCACGGAGACTACCGGGACGGGGCCGGCGAGCTTACGGAACACTCACTCAGTAGGACGAAAGGCCAGTCAGTCAAACGGTCAGTCGGTCGCGCGGTTCTTCCACAGGACGGTTACACTGACCGACCGACCGACTGACGGGCGGGCGGAGTCCCAGAATAAAGCAAAACACCTACCCGTACGACGCGTAGATCACAGTAGGGAATATGACGAGCCTCGAAGCCCGACAAGTCCATGATAAGAGTCCAGCCTTCGTCGGCTGCGAGTTTGGCCTTCTTGTAGAGAAAATATTCGGTCATGTACAGGCCCCACGTGAGGTAATCCGCTAGAACATACTTTTCGTCCTCGGGGACCCAATCGCCTTTCCTCCAAGCTGAAAGAATCGGAATCCGCGATTAGGGGGACATGTCCACGGAAAGCCCGCTGAACCCGGACCAAATCACTCCGGGCTCCACTTCTACCCCGAGTCTGATCCATTTCCATGTATATAATCAACACGGTCCCTTTCCTCGGATAATAATAACCGAACTCGGATATATCGTCGGCGTCGTTCTCCCGATATCGAATCGGAAAATTCTCATCGTGCGCGATTCGCGCCGGAATTAGCTATCGCGGCGAGCGGTCTAAACAGGTCTTCCGGCCTATATTTGAACCCTCTCATGGGACTGGGGATGGCGAAGTTTCCTAAGAGTTGCATCGATATAAAATGGTTGCGCCAGTGAGCCCGGATTAGGCGGAAGTGATCTAGGCGGCCACGCACGGCAGCGCCAGCCTGCTCGCTAATCAGCGGCCGCGGCACACGAAATCTCTATTCTAAGCCTGCGAGAAGTATGGCTCGATGAATAATTCACTTATGAGGCTCCTTCTTGGAGGATACAAAGTCGAACTCTAGGACTAAACGTTATTGTCATAAATTTCTTTCCGGGATCGTTAGACTCGCGTCCAGCGTGGAAATGACACGACGGCCCGAGACTTGGTCGCCACCGGAACGAGTGGGCGAACGCTCAGCCTCGAGAAGGCACCGTCCGGACAGCTCATTCCGCGGATCGCGGCCGTTGTTGCCAGACGAATCGAGTCGACCGATTTCAGTGGACGGCGATGTTTCGAAGTTCGATTCGGGGATGCGGAAAACGAAAAAAGAGGACAAGAGAGGCTTGGGAGCAAGAGCCGGAAACCGCTGCTGTCGAACTGCAGCTGCACTTACCGAAGACCCAAGTGTTGTCGACCGAGTTCCTTATGGGGAAAACGGTGCAATTGTTCAGCGAGACGTAATCTTCCATCCACTTGACGCCTTTTCCGCGCGGCCAAATTTTATCGGGGAACTCCTTCCGGAGTTTGTAATATTTCTGCACACTCGCGAACGCGGCATCGACGTCGAACTTTTTGTGACGCAAGAAGCACAGCAGAAACGCGTCGTCTGTTTGACAGTGGATTTTGTGGTCGATCCCTTCCAATTTCTTGCGGAGATCAGCGAGCGCGCTCTCGTGTTTCGCCAGAGCCATCTCGAGACTTGGATCCTGACTCAACTGCAAGCTGAACGCCGAGTCTGGAAGAAAGGCAGGTGTTAGAACTACTGCAGGATCTCCTTCTCGTTCTTCTTTTTCCTTTCTCCGGGCCAGACCTGGGCGAATCTTGATGGCTTCTCAGTTAGATAACGAATAACCTCCTCCGAGTTCAAGGTCGCTCTCGGGGTTCTGAGGAATCCTTCGTCGGAAATTCCGAACGCTTGAACGAACCGCATCCAGAAGTTTCCCTCTTCTCTCCCCCGACTCCCCGTCGAATAATCCGAGAGATAACAACAGAGTAAACAACCGAAGCCGCTGGTTGTGATCTCTAATGACGAGCATCTCTTCATGAGGGTGTACGGGCACCGCAGAACAGATAGAAGAGTCGTAGGAACTCGAATACGCATTGTCAGACAACAACGTCCTCTATCTCTCGGAATGTATGCATGTATGTATCTATCTGTCTGTCCGTCCATGGACGTAAGTGAAGCCGCTAAACGAGCCCCAGCGACAAACGGATAGCCGACTGGATTCCATTCGGTACGACAGCGATGGACGACGATTATGTGTCTCTCCAAACAGAGATGTTCTGAGCGAAAACGAGGCCCTCCATGGCGGCGGTGAATGTCTAATCAATTTCAGACATGCAGCCGACTCGAAATTACACTTTCATGGGACGAGCGACGTGCGAGGGTACGAGCACACTCAAAGTGATCTGTTGAAGCGGATGAGTGTGATGGAGCCGGAACCAGACGCAGAACCCGTCTCTGATCATCGTTCGGGTCGCGAGCATTATTAGAGGAATCGTGATCTGGCCACGACTGGCGAAGCCCCGAGATCGCCCTGGGGCGAGGGATCCTCGATTCGAGGCCGAGCGATTTATGGAAACGCCGAAGAGACGAAGTGTACATGAGACTCTAATTAGCTCGATAAATAAGACAGATTTTCCGACTTTTCAGGGGGGGGGGGGCGTCAAGTCCGTTCGGGATTTTTTCTCATCGAACTATGCGAACCCGAAAATATGGGTGAAGAGCAGCACCGCCGTATTGCGACCATGGCCTCGTCAGCTGCGGAGGAGAACGTGGGGAGAGAGGGTCACGGACGAGTTCCGCTCTACCTCAAAATCTTCACCTTCTTCCGAAAATGAATTTTCATTCAATCCGACCCTTGCCGAAAGGCAAAACGAGGTATAAGCTTACCCGTCGGGGTGAAGTCCTGCGACGCATCGCAGAACTCCGAGTCACTCAACGTTTCCATATCGTCACGGGGAATGTTTATCGTCTCCTCAAACGACTTCTGCACTGAGCGACGCTCAAGCAGTTTGGCACGTCCGTCATAAACGACGCAGGGATAGTCCTCTTAGTTATCCAGATACTTTGCTTGCGCAAAACTCGTCATTTATCCTCTCGGCTTTGTTAATCAAAGGAAGTTCACTTAGTCCGTGGTTCGCAATTTTCTTGTGGGAGGTCTTCAGCTCCGATTGCGGTCTTCTGTGCTCGTTGTCACCGATATCAAAAATAAAGAGTCTCCGAGAAAGCGCGCAATCGGAGCCCGTCGAAGGTCGGTAGTTCGAAGCTACAGCTCTCCCAGTTCAAGACTAAACGAGATCACGCGACTTCAAAAAATGACCAGCGGTCGTGAGAATTCAGTCAAACTTGAACAAATTTAACAACAACGTTCAACAGAATTCCGGTCGCACGAAAGCCTGCGGAACAGCACGGGGGTGTTGCTCGGTCGACCGGCATTACGAGAGTGAACTCGGAGAGGGACGGCACCCAGAGGACCCTGGGCTCGAGAGTGAGGGTCCTGCGAGAGGAAGGCAATTCCAACGCAACTCAGACACCGAGCAACCTCCAAGAAGAGCGTACGTCATTGCTCCTTCGAACAGCCCGAGTCGGACTCACCGCAATCTCCTGAGGCTCACCGCAGCCGCTCGGGAAGCAGACGCCATCAATCGACGGGAGCCGGGGCCATAGAAAACTCATGTATTAATTAATTTCACCGATATTCGATAACTTACTCCTAGAACGGACTTGATTGTAGGCGAAGGACGCGTGACGGACGGCGTTCGAGAGCTGCGATTACATCACTGGATCGCTCGACAAACGAGGAACGTGCATGTCGATCCCGTCGGCTCAGTTCATAGCGGTGGACACTCCACCGAGAGTTGGAAACAAGCCAGGCGGGTTGAATGTGCACGGCTCATTTCTGGGAAAGCTCGAAATTCCGTCTTCGGCTACTCGAGTCTCGAAATTTTCATTGTCTCGCTATCTGCGGACGCCCATCGGAGCTCAATCAGATCAGCCAGAAAGAGATACGTTCGATCAATATCACGCACAGCTATGATGCTCTTCGTATATTCTACGAGCCACCACGAACTTGTTCGCAGCAAACTCGTTCGAAGAAGGTCTGAGTGGCAAAACTCCTGATCGACGTGAGAAAATTAGGTTATGACTGTGGTTTCCGCCAATCCAGCTCCTGCCAGAGCACTGGAGTCGATTCTGTCGGACAGACTGGGACTCCCATCACCGAACGCGCTCCCGTGCGATCTCTCCTCCCCACTGATCTACTGACGCCACTTGGTGGAGGCTTTGTTGGACGACCATGATAATGATGATGATGGTGGTAGCGGCGGTGACGGTCGTCGTGCCTCTCCGATAGCCGTGAGAGCAGAGAATCAACAAAGGGTTCCGCGTCCGTCAGCGAAAGAGCCAACGAGCCTGTTCCTCGGCCGAGCTTCCAGGCACCGCCGATCGGGAGGTGATTTGCGACAGGTCGGTATAAGCGGTGTGCTCGGAAATTTCGTCGAGTGAGGAGTGAGACCATTGATTCCCCGCTTCGACCTGGATCCGCGAATCATCAATTTTTCCCGTCATCACTCGGACGTTGGGTCAGAAAATCCACTCAGGTGATGGAGAATCAGTATCAGCGGGCCATACCGAACCGTAGAGGAGCGTCGACGAGAATATCGTCAATAACAACAACTACGAAGTCACGATCACCCATACGACGAATTTCCCCATGGGGATGTGATGCCTCCCATTTAGGCATCGCCATTCGTCGTTGATTGAATCGGAGGATTCCACCGGTGCGATCGAGGTCCCGCGCGGACCTGGAATTGTGTTCTGAAGCGACTTTCTGCAACGAGGTCAGTCTGCTCTTTCCGCGATCAAGCGCGGGAGGCCAGGCCTGCTGCCGGATATAAAAGCTCATTGTAATACCATAGCACAAGGAATGCGCAAAACTAGGCTACTTTATTGCTCGGCTGCCACTATCCGAGGGTATATTATTGCGACGTTTGGCACACGTTTCTTAGCAGCGAACGCCAGATCGCGCATAGATAAGGCGAGAAACACATTCAAACTCGGCACGGGCACATGGACGTATGCGGATTTCAATCCGGTCAAGACATGATGCGTTCGCATCTGGCGCGCAGGAATATTACGCAAGGATGTATCTCCACCGGTTTTTGGCCTTTCTGCTTCTTCCTCCTTTTCCCTCAGCCCTTGTCCCTTTCCCCATCCTCTTTCTCGGGCTTCGAGCGTTTATTTGCGTCGCTCCACCCTGAACCGCCCGCAACGCTGAATGGAGAAAGCTTATCGAACTCGATCTGAAGCATCACTGAACTTTAATCGATCGAACGGTATGCATCCGGAGAACCTTTTCCGCGAACCTGTGCGCCCCCAGTGATCATTAGGATGAGGGCGAGTTAGGCACTGGGAACTGTGGGTGATAGAGCGAGGGGGGAATGGGGGGCGAGCCTTACGAGCATGCGAGAAAATGGCTTGCGGTGAGCTCTGGGACCTGATGATACCTACGCATTATATTCCCATCAAGGGCTCGTTGTCCTTTCTCCGCTCCTGTTGTGCGCAGAAACGCCTGCTGCCTCTGCGTTCTGCGTACAATCCCTCAAGGTCCTGGATCTGCCGCCACGGCCTTCGGGAAGCTACGCGTGCCTTTCCTGTCTGAGTGGCACTTAGTTTAGGCTACGAAGAATGTTTCCAAATCTGAGTTCAGTCTGTGAAGCCGGCGAAAGTTTCGATGCACCCGCCCGCGGCCTCCGAGCGTCTTCATTCCGCTCAGTGCTCCCCGCTCTCAGGAGACGCCACGCATTTTTCACAGTTCTTTCGGTAGAAGCCTGAACACGGGAGTCTCTGAGCCACGGGGTCTCTGAAAGGAGAAGACCGGAGCAGAGGGAGCAGCTCATTTCGCGGCGTGAAGCGATCCCGTGGGAGCGGAGCATTCATCGACCGCGCAGTCGATTCCATGAACATACCGCTGTCGTTCAAAGCCGCCCGTCGTCATCAAGGTCCGGGCTCCTCCACCTTACTTATATTCATACCCGCTAGAAGCCCTATTCATCACTTCGTTACCGCGAATTCGGCTTTTTTGCGTGTTCCGCTGTCTGCTCCGAGCATAAGGTACGCGGCTGGATTCTGGCCACGGCATGCCGAGCCTCGCAGATGACCGCGTGCAAGATGCAACATCTGTTTCCCTCGCATTCAAAGCTCGTCAGCCCCATTGTTGTTTCTGCTAATGTCAAATCTTCCTCGAGGCAGGGCAGATGACCATCTGCGAGCACAAGTCAGAATGGCGTGACTCGGCAGTCTCGCTCTGCGTAATTTCGCAGCGGAGTTCCAATTGCAGCACGTCACGATCGGAGTCCCTTTGTGAATAAGCTCATCTCGGCTGACTGTAAATGGTTGAACGAAGCCGAATACGGGAAACTTTTTGAGATTCGTCGATTCCATATCCTTTGACGCACATAATATTTCCGTCATCATCTACTTATTATGTATATCCACGTTCGGATTGTGAACGGATCCCAAGTCTATGTATCGACTCGAGGTCCCTTAGAACCTTCCCGAGACCTTGGGGGACGCCTTCATGAAGGTCCTTGAAACGTTGATTAGGCGACGTCGCGTTCGGCTCCTCCAGAGGATGTTCCCGGATCAGAAAACGACTGAGAGAGACTAATCGAGACTTGTTAATAGATCTCAGCGAAAACATACGCATGAGGAGCGCTTCATCGTGCTCCTAGAAATCGTAATCATGTATGTAGGTGCATACGGTAGTTGGAATGCTTGGCAATTCGAAACCTTCGTAAGCTGCCGAGGAGAATCTGCGGGAATCGAGACAGACCTGGTCACGGCAGTATTTGAATAGACATCCGGTGGAAGCAGAGGTCGCATCGCACTGAAGTCGAAACCCTCGGAGCTCGACGCACCGTCTGCGTGACGATGAATGACGACGCGGAGCTCGTCATCGAATGAGCGGGCAGCTCCGATTGTCGGTCACCCCGACCTTTGCTATGGTCCTCTTATTTTTATCCTCCGCCAGGCGGTTTGGCTTCGGCTGATCCTAGCGGGAAATGCTTGTGCGCGGCCGGTGGAATCGACTGGGAAAGAAGAAAACCAGGCAATCAGCTGCTCAGCCTATGTCAAACGTTTTCACCACCGTCTCCTGACGAGTCGAATTCTCACGGGTATTGTTGTCATCCGCGGTGGAGGGAAGAAGGCAGTTGCCGGGAAACAACTAGGTAATTCCAAATCCTTTCGTGGTGGAGATTCGCTCCGTCGCTTCAGTCGGTCCCCCTTCCTCTCTGCGCTCCGTCTTCCCCGCTCGGGGCGTGTTCCCTTGTCTAGTTTTACTCTCGCGAATCTCAAATAGAATTCTCGTTAAACGCATCCGACTCCAGGTCCTCGTTAACGACTTCTACTAAAAGTTCAGCTCCCGAGCCAGCGTAAGCCCCGACTTACAACTAGAACTGATCGGCGTGGCGCTCGTCCTTAACGGACATGGAAGCGGAATGAGATTCGTGTGAACGAGTTCTTTGTAGGAATCGATGATCGAGCGAATATTTCACGAATGAGCACAATAATGGATTGAATTTCCTTCGGGAGCTCCTGCTGAAAAGAATAACACCCCATTTTCCTCCAAAGTTTTCTAAGTCCTTTCGCGAGCTCCAGCCGGCTCGGAGCCTCCACTCATCTCCAGTGCACGATTGTCACGTACTGCGAACGTAATTAGCTCGCTTATACCTTTTGTTCCCGTTCTTCGCGACGCCAGCTACTTCGGAGCGTCCTTGACCCCTTCCTGGCAAACCGCCAAGTTATGAGGGAAGCGGGGTCACGCTGCTGTGATTTTCTGTTTCGATATGCTCGCACTCAAGACTTCGGAGAGCTGACTGGTGAGATTGCGTCAATGAAACGATGGATTCCTCGTAACCGGAGCGTAGATGATATGCGAGCGATGTTTCGAAACACCGCCCAGCTATGGGCTCCCCGAGACGTTTTCGGCCTGCTTGCGCAGCTCGAACGCTGGTCATCGGTCAGGAGAAGATTCGCGACTGGAGGAACCCTCTTCGCCAGCCTGGTCTCGGGAGCAATCGGGACGTGAAAAAAATCCCAGATTCCATTTAGTGGGGGAAAATTTTCGGAGATGCCCTTCTACAGGGATAAGAGCCCTCTGCCGTTTCCCCCCTCTCTACCTGGGGAGAATTTTCCTTGAAAACCACTTCTTCCTAGCCTGCTTCACGGCGATGCCCGCTGACGGGAGAAAGTAGACATCTGCGTCCCATCATATGCAAAGATTCTACGAAGTGTGGGTATCTTGACGAGCTCCCGAGGTACTCTGCAAGGTTACAGACAACATTTCGGCTCGGCAAACGACTCGTGTAGCGTTTTAGAGTCGAGTCGCTCATCTCTGCCGTCACCGACACAAGGTGACGCCTCCCTCCTTTGAAGAGAGTCTGGAACAGGGCATCCCGCTCCAAGTTTGAGAAGCCTGTTGGGGACAAGTCCCCTGGGTCCAAGGAGAATCGGTGGCGGAAGCTCTGTCTTCGTCCCTCATCTTTTGTCGTTCCCGAACTATGCAAAGCGCTCTGCACTGCCGTCACCGCGGGGACTTTCTCGCGTTCCGATCATCGTTATAACCCAGGATCCGTTCCGAGAGGAGTCCCACGGGATCCGACCCGGCCGCGCCCCTCGATGTCCCTTCCGCGATCTATGTGGCACCTTGATTATTGAGAGTAGCCCTTCTCGATATCTTGATGACCAACTCATGCTCCCAAGCTCGTGAGGCGCTCGACT